AAATATTTCTGTAGGATAAACTCCCAGAGTCATCCTAAGTGGTATTAGTTGGTCAAAGGACATTTACATTTTAGATAATATAAAACTGCCTGCACTTCAAAAAGGTTTAAAAATGGAGACTTACTCGAAAAGAAGAAAAAACTGTTTCTGCAGTAACTACCAGTAAAACATTTGTATCAAAATATCTTACATATTTCTATTTTCTTACAACTGGGCCATCCTTAGCTTTCAATTTATTTTATCAATTTGTAACATTTAAAATAATTATCCCTTATTCCACCAAAACACTTACCTCACCTTCTAAAACTACATGCATGTCTCAATATCTAAAATTAAATATATGTATTTTTATTATCTCTCCATCAAAATATTAGATGTTGGAACTTGGCTGGTTCACTACAGTATCTCTAGTATCGATAGTGTTTTTGTTGTTGTTGTTGGCATAGTGGCCATTCAATTATTTGTGCACTAATGAATTGTATAAGTCGTATAATAGATACAATAATAATAAAGCTGTTAAGGTGGCTAAGGCAATACATTTGGAGATAAAGCGTCCAGGGTTGGGTCATAACCCAGGCACAGCTAGGCAGCTTTAGGTAACTATCTTTCAAAGTCATTTTCCTCATCTATAAAATGAGGCTTATATCATAGTCCTCAACAAACCAAACAGCCGAAATGGTCAATAACTATTTGGTATTACAAGACACACATTTCACTGCCTGCAACGACTAAGAAAATGTTGCCTCGATTGGTTTTCCACAGATTTGGGGTTGAGGGCGGGGAGAGAGAGAGAGAGGCTGACAGACATCAACGTAGAGATGCATTAGTTGGTTGCCTCGGAGGGCCCAGGCCAGGGCAAACCGGAAACCTAGGTGTGTGCCCTGACCGGGTGGAGCCCCCGACCTCGGGCGCCGGGACAACGCTTCGACCAGCTGCGCCACAGCAGCTTAGTCCTCCCGTTCTCGCTCAGGTGCGCCCCGTGAATGTACGTCAGAGGCTCTTACGTTGTATCTCGAAAATGTCTCCCTAAACCAAATCTCCGGCATTCTCCAGAGTGGCCGCCTACCGGGAGGCCGTGTCCGCCCTGGGCGCTGCCGACCCTCTCCGCACTGGCCAACCGGGGTTACCGGACGCCGCGGCGCCCCGGGCCTTAAACAGCGGGCTGGGCTTCAGCCCCGGCGGAGCACCAGTCCCCTGAGACCTTGAGTCACGGGCGCCACCCAGACCCTCCGACTCAGCCTTGGAGTAGGGGCCCCAACAACAATCAGTCTGAGGGACGCTGGGGGGCGAGGACGCCGACAGCCGACCCCACTCCACAGGCAAGCCCTGTGCTGCCTCAGAGTTTCCCACAAGGGCGCCTGCCCACAGCTCCTGGGAGGCCCCGCGCCCTCGGCCCTCGGCCCTCGGCCCGCGCCGCCGCGCCCGACCGGTCCACACGGCCACGCTCAGACACTGCCCGCGAGACCGCCCCTCCGGCTTCGCCCCTGATAGGCTGGAATTGAGCCCCAGGCTCCTCTTCAGCGGGTTCCCCGCCCCACACGGAGGCGGAATCTGAAACGGTTCCTTCCACCGGCCAATCATTCCCGCCAGCCAGGCTCCGCCGAGGTACTCTGCGCCATCTTCGCCCTTTCCCGCCTGACAGCAACGCCCCCAGCCACGAACCTCTCTGTCCGCGCCTGCGCAGCGCTGCGCGGACGCGGCTGCTGGGGGAGCGCGCTCACCGCAGGGTCGTAAGCGGGTGATGTAGGCTCTGCTTCTTCTGCAGCCAGACGGAGCCTGCGGTGCAGGGAAACCCTGAGTGGGGTCGGGCAGAGGAAGGTTGACTCCACACGGGCAGCTGCACTTGTCATGCTCTAATGGCCCCTCTCTTGCTGAAGTGAACACCTTTAGAAATGTGGGAATATTTATTTTTTCAGTCACACAGTTTGCGATACTTTGTTACAGAAGGATCAGGAAACTAATGCACTGCCAAACCGTTTTTCCAAAGTAATTTTATCAACTTACACACAGCTTTGAAAAAATATCAGTACTTGGAAACAGCCCAAGTGTCCATCAGTGGACGAATGGATAAAAAAGCGGTGGTACATGTACACAATGGAGTACTATGCAGCTGTAAGAAAGAAAGATCTCTTGTCCTTTAAGACTGCATGGGGGGACCTGGAGAGTATCATCCTGAGTGAAACAAGCCAAACAGAGAAGGACAAGTATCATATGATCTCACTTATTTGTGAAATATAATGAACATAACAGTCTGAGGAATGGGGTAGTCCCAGAGACATGGAGGTGGGGTACAGACTGACAATCCCCAGAAGAGGGGTGGTGGGGAGAGATAAACCACAGAACTTATATGCATGTGTGCATGAACGGTGGACATGGACAACAAAGCTGGGGACAGGGTGGGGAGGGAGGGGGAGGGGGGAATCAGTGGGGGGGAAGGAGAAACATCTGTAACAAAAATTAATAAAAAATAAATAAATAAAAATAAAAAAAATATCAGTACTTCAGCCTCACACTACACTAACTAAACTGTAATCTCTGGATAGGCTCAGAAAAAATTGATTCTGACACATCTTGAAGGTTGAGAGCTGCTTATCTAAATCTAAATCCAAGAAGGGTGTCAATGGGGGGAAAGGAGAAACATCTGTAACAAATATAAATTAATTTAAAAAATAAATCTAGGCCCGGCTGGTGTTGCTCAGTGGTTAAGTGTTGACCAGGAGGTCGCCAGTTCGATTCCGGTCAGGGCACATGCCCAGGTTGTGGGCCAAATCCCCAGTGGGGGCATGCAGGAGGCAGCCAATCCATGTTCTCTCTCATGGATATTTCTCTCTCTCTCAAATCAATCAATAAATAAAAAACTTTAAAAAAAAACCATTCTCATCATTGAAGAACAGTGTGCCAGTGGTTTGGCCATAGGACTGAAAGTAGTTCTAATGAAGATTGTTCCAGATATTGGTAGGATCCCTCTCCCTTCTCTGCTCAGAGTTAACATAGCTAACCATTATACTGCTCCGTGGTTGAACAATCAGTTCCTACTAACACAATTCATAAAGGAGCATTAAGACTAAGGCCTCTTTTTTTATTTTTTTAATCCCCACCCAAGGATATTTTCCATTTATGTTTAGACAGAGTAGGAGGGAGGGAGGGAGAGAAACATCGATGTGTCACATCAACTGGTTGCTTCCTGCATGACCTCGACCAGGGGACCAACCGCAACCGAGGTATGTGCCCTTGGCCGGAATCGAACCTGGGTCTCATTGGTCCACAGGCCGACATTCTGCTGAGCCAAACAGGCCAGGGCACTCAGGCCTCTTTTTACTTACAGAATATTTTCTTGAATATGCTAATAAAATGAATCTTTCAGAAACTGCCACACCTTGGCACCTTGGCCTTCGATGGAGAGCTTGCTTCTAGGAGCTGTTAGTACTCACAATTCCTCAGGGAAGAGTAGCTTTGGAAAAGGAGAGCTAGCCAGCCTGGCTCGTGGGATAGTTCAGTCCTTGCAGCTCCTTGTGCTGAGGCTGCAGCAGGCAGCTGCCCCTTGTGGAGTCCCGAACAAGAAGGTAGTTGAGCAGGTTGGGCTACAGGTGGAGGGTCTACTCTTATACCAGTCCCAAGATATTCTTGAAGGGTAAGTGAACTTCTTACATTGCAGACACTAATCCAGGGAATGGATTCCTTGGTAGTGATACTACCAACTGCTGGGCCTCTACTTGGCAACGAAGTTACAAGCCCTGAGAAACCCTTTGCAGTTTCCATCACAAAAATATATCATCAAAATGAATGAAGAGAAATCCAGTGTTGAAACTATAAACTACTTGGAGCTAATAGTTGGAGTATTTTCCTGACAAATGTTAGGTATCACTGTTTGCCTTTAAACATTAAAATACTCCGTGGCATGCTGAGATCCCTGCAGTGGCACTCAGTTTGAGAACTATAGCTATGATGATTTTGAAAATGAGTGATTCTCATTTTTTTCCTTGAATGAGTATTCAAGATAATAATTTTCTTCCAAAATGCTACTACTGTAAGCTCCAATGTAATCTGACTCTTTCTACCATCTAAAACTAAGTCCCACAGAATATTCTTTTTGTTTTTTTTATCCTCATCCGAGGACATTTTTGCATTTTTCTTCAGATAGACCGGGAGGAAGAAAGGGAGAAAGAGAGGGAGAAAAATAGACATGAGAGAGACACATTGACTGGTTGCCATTCACAGGACCCCAACCGGGGCGGGGGACAAACTGCAACTGAGGTACGTGCCTTTAGCGGGACCGAACCTGGGACTCTCTGGTCCGCGGGCCAATGCTCTAACTGCTGAACCAGACCGTTCAGGGCAGGATATTCTTTTAAATGATCACAGCAGGCATTAATACTCCACAGGGCTGTCCAGATTCTAACCTATTCCTACAGAGGACATCTTGGATAAATCTAAAAATCCCTTGGAAGAAGAGCAGTTAACTATTTTTAATAAAATAAATGAGAAATTATACTATTTTTAAAAATAACCCATTAACTTAGAAATTGGCCTACTATTAGGCAGACACTATTAAATACTAAAAAAATTTTTTTAACACAATGCAGTCTATTGTACATTTATAAGAATTTTTGATGACTTTTCTACCCCTCAGTATTTCATATCTGATTTTTATACTCAGTTATCAAAGATATAAATTGTTCATTCTAGAAACAGGCTGTTAACCACAGACATAAATATCCCTATTAAACACAAGTTCTGGTTAATATCCTGATTAAAATACAGTTAATAATAAATTGGATATTGTGTTACAAGTAACAATCTAGACTAAACCATAAATAAATGTATAGAACATTGATGATTACGACAAAGAAAAGTTAAATGCCAAACATCAAAGGAGAGAACAGATTCAAGTGAAAGTTTTCCAAAGCATTTTATTCATCATGTAGCCATACTTAAGATGCTGGAGGAAATGTCCGTATCTGCTGAGTTCTTGTTGGCTGTAATGAGAAGGCAGTACTTTTTTATGCATTATTTTGTCCAGTCTCACAATTAGAAGCAATCTTCGATTTGTTAGATGCTTCATAAGCTTGGATAATAAGCCTTAAGTAAGTGATAATTTCCTTGTCTGCTGTTTTCATGTTAAATCCCAATATCTTCAATATAGTGTCTCGAAAGTTGACATGCTGTAAAGGGCCACCACAAAAATCAAGACATGTCACTAGTTTTGGTCACCTACTTACTGGGTACAATGAAATTGGTAGGAGAAATTTAGTCTCATTAAACATTTCCTTGTGAAATGTAACATTCTATATTCAAATATATATATTTTTATCCTCACCCGAGGACACCCTTTCATTTTTTGTTCAGATAGAGTGGGAGAAAGAGAGAGAGAGAGAGAGAGAGAGAGAAACATCGACGTGAAAGGGACACATCGAGTGGCTGCCACCCACATGACCCAATCAGAGCCGGGGACAAACTGCAACTGAGGTACACGCCCTTAGCGGGAACTGAACCCGGGTTTCTCTGGACCGCAGACCAACGCTCTAACCGCTGAGCCAAACTGGCCAGGGCTATATTCAAATATTTTTAAGCTAGAAAAATGGTCTTTTCTATTATAAGTAGTCTTTTTTTAAAATTTTATTTTAAGATTTTTTTCTTAAGGTTACACTTTTATAGACTAAACCTAATTTTATTGCTGCTTATTTTTCATCTGTAAGGTAATTTCTTTTTGTATTTCTGATTTGCTGTATGGTAATAGTAGTCCCCTAAATACATATCTCTCCACCCATCCTCCTAAAACCTACTGATCAATAAGGAAAGCAGAAAAAACATCCATAAATGCCTAAAACATAACTAGAGAATATCACAGACATCAGTTTGCATGTAAATGGGGAAATAAGTATCCTAAACCAGCAGAGGCAGCTCCAGACTCCATGCTGGAGGATACAGCTGGTTTCCACTGGTGTCTCAGAAATGGGAAAATACATAAATGGGGAAATACTAAGAACAAGTCCGAGACCTTGTAGATCAGAACACTGACACGTGGAGAAGGTAAAGAAAGGGACCTGGAAGAAAACAGAAAGGCAGTATCACCCAAACTGTTAAGGTAATGAAAATACCCTCCCCGCCCTGGCCGGTTTGTCTCAGTGGTTAGAGCGTTGGCCGTTGGCCCAAAGTCACAGGTTCGGTTCCCACAAAGGGTACATATCTTGGTTGCAGTTTGTCCTTGGCCCCAGTTGGGGTCATGTGCATGGCAACCAGTTGATGTGTCTCTCTCATATTGATGTTTCTCCCTCTCTCTTCCTCCTTCTCTCCCTCCTGGTCTATCTGAAGATAAATGCAAAAATGTCCTCGGGTGAGGATAACAGATAAAAAAAGAAAAGAAAAGAATATACTCTCCCCAAAACAGCCACGTGGCAGGGGAAACATGTTTGACACAATGCCTGATATAAATTAAATGTTAATTAGGCAAGGATTTGCAGATGTGGGGTAAAAACACCTTTCTAAATGTAATATTTCAAAACAGAAATGGAAAAAAAAAAAAGATAAAGAAGATGTGATGATGGAACTCAGGCAAGTACAAGACAAAATCTTCTCAGAAATGAAGAGAAAAAAGAGTGCACAAAGGAGAGAGATTTGACTGAAAATATAAGAAACACTGAGAAGAATAAAATAATCATGAATGTGAATATGCAGAAGTTTAAAAAGAGAAAAAGAAAATGATAGTATCATGACTTGATTTTTTTAAGACTCTCAAGATAATTGGTTCAAGTTACATATTTCTTAAGCAATATATGGAGGTATGATATATAATCCCACAATAGCCCAAAATTATCAGGCTTTTAAGAATTCTTGCCTGGCTGGTGTGGCTCAAGGCTGAGCGGTGACCTATGCACCAGGAGGTTGCCAGTTTGATTCTCGGTCAGGACACATGCCCAGGTTGTGGGCCAAATCCCCAGTGGGGGGCATGCAGGAGGCAGCCAGTCGATGTTCTCTCTCATCAATGTTTCCATCTCTCTCCCTCTCCCTTCCTCTCTCTCTAAAATTAATTTAAAAATATTTTGTAAAGAATTTTTCAAATGTTTTATAAACATAGTGAAAATCTAGGTAAGCTTAGAAGCACTACCCTCTTGTCTTAGAAAATGTCCCAACCCCAAACACATGGTTTCCCCAGAATTTTCATTCTATCAAATCCCTGTCCTCCCTGTCTATAGTTAGAGGATGTGTACATAAATCTAAGCTAAGATAATCATATATCCTATCCTTCACCACTGTGAATTCACCAAGGATAGGCATTTGATCTAAGCAGGATTTATAAAGACCCTTTCTTGGGATTCTTTCTCTTGTCCCAGAAACTCTTAACTATAAAACTCTGTGGTTTTCAGTCAGAAAGACAAGTGGACGCACAGAGAGATGTCAAAAAGAGATGGTGAGAAAGGTCTTATAAATTTCCAGGTGCTCATCCTAGGGCCCAAGTGCATCTCTGCCCTCCCAGAACTATGGTTCTTTAACTCCTTTTGATTCCATAAGCCAATAAATTCCCTTAAGTTAGGTAGAGTCTAAGTTGAGGTGGGTGTTTATCACTTCAACTTAAAGAATCTTAATAAAGTAATAATAATAATTTTTAAAAACCTCTTGTCGTTGTCCTGATACTTCTTCAAGTGTATTCTTTGCTGTGCAAGCTCAGGAGTGACAGCATCTACCATCTGATGGGCCCTGTCTTTGTCCCATCTTGCCTCTTGCTTGGCTGAGTCTAATGTAGTTTTCAAGTTATTTATTTTCATAACTGCTTTCCCTTTCACTGCTTCAACTTTTATTAAAGATTGCCTGAGCTTCTGAATTGTATTGTCCTGTGAGGGTATAAAGTTAAGATTGGGGAAAAGGAAGATGACTGTGATTAGATCTCTTAAATAATAGGCAGGTATGATGAATATAATTCATGCTTCTTTCTTTCTCTCTCTCTCTCTTCTTTTTAAGAGGTAGATAGATGAAAAAGAAAGAAAATCCCACAATTTATGAATTAAGAGGACATTTCTCCATCATCATACTCATCAATAACCAACAATCACTGAACACTTTTATAAACTAGGCACTTGGGGTTTAAAGAGGTTTAACAAGTGTTCCATGTCCTCAAAAGTCTTATAGTACAACCTGTGCTAATTAAATAGAGAAGTAGAGAATATAAGGGGCTCTGCAGTAAAAGAAATATTGCTGATAAAAAGCTGATCAGTAAGTATTTAGTGAACCTGTAGTTTAAGATAAAAAAAAAATGTATGTTTGAAATACTATAACAGAAACTTAAATACAGAAGGTCCAAAGAGGATCCCTCAAATGACTAAAACATTTAACTATTACACCAATAAAAAAGACAAAAGTAAGACTTGTAGTAGATTTGCAAGCATCAGATTTTATTATTATATATTAATATTATATTCTTTTGTGTGTGTAAAATAATTTTAATGTTAATTTAAAAAATTTAATGAGAAACGGGCAGTTAAAATAGTAACAAACTAAAGCTTAAATAAAGTTTTGAAAGCCTCACTTCTTTTACTTACTTTAAGGAAATTTACCCTTGTCAGTTGGGTTTTCATATTTTTATTTGACAATTTCAAATCACTGAGCTGTTTCTGAAGCATCTGAATTTCTTCCTCTAATCTTTGAGTTGTCACAATCTGCAAATTCTGCTTAATGTTCAATAATGTTTGTTGCCTATTGTCTTTCTCTATCTGTTTGAACATCTTGCTGTTCTCATCTATCTGGGAATTCTTAGTCCTGGAGTTTTCCTTTCAAGAAATCAACAATATTGAAATAAAGTTGTGTTTTTCAATGCTGTTCCACACTAGCATACCAGGTCTACTCTAGACTGATAAATTAGAGACAATAATACTTACATAAATCAAATATTTTTTTTCACCATAAGTATGCATAATTTAAATAATCTAGAAAGTAAACTAGGAGAATAAAAGCGACGACTCTGTGCTAACAAGGGCACAGTTAAGTAGACAATTTTATTAACACCAGGTAGTAGCACAGATTAACTCAACTTTTCTAGTAATGTATTCATGCACAAGAATATAATTTATAACATTATTCAAAACATGGAAAAATAAAAATACAAATGTCAAAAAAGAATAAACAAATGACATATGATTGATTAGATTTCCTAGAAATCAAGTTTTTAAATTTCTAATAAGAGAAAATACTAATGATACAGTTAAATGAAAGAAACAGGATAAAAAAAAAAACTGTGCCTATCTCAATTATGTCAAAATATGAATGGAAAATAATCAGAAGGAAATATACCTATATATTAACACTGGTTATCTCAAAGTAGTAGAATTACTGGTGATTATATTTTATTATTATTTTTTAATATTTTTTCTTTATTGATTTTAGAGAGAGGGAAAGAGATAGAAACATCAATGAGAGAGAACATCGATGGGCTGCCTCCTGCATGCCCCCCACTGGGGATTTGGCCCACAACCTGGGCATGTGCTCTGACTGGGAATTGAACCAGTGACCTCTTGGTACATGAGTCGATACTTAGCCACTAAGCCACACCAACTGGGTGAATTACTGGTGATTTTAATTGTATTCTTTCTAACCTTTTATAATTTATAGAGTTACTACCAAAACAAAAAACAAAAAACAACCTGAAAAAGGAGTATGGATTTTTAAAAAGATACCATATATTTTCATTATATAAATAAAAAACTAGTCAAATGTATATACAAAAGAACCACTAGTTCTTTGGAAAGATAAAACAGATGCCCCTGGCAAGCCTGGTTAAAGAGAAAAGAAAGTGAAAACACATATTAGGAAGGAGAAACATACAGAATGCATAGATATAGAAAGTATAAAAATAGCCTGGCCAGTGTGGCTCTGTGGACTGAGCATCCTCCCATGGACTGAGAGGTCCCAGTTCGATTCCTCGTCAGGGCACATGCTTGGGTTGCAGGCTTGATCCCAATAGGGGGCATGCAGGAGGCAGTCAATTGATGTTTCTCTCTCACATAGATGTTTCTCTCTCTCTCTCCCTTCCTCGCTCTAAAAAATCAATAAAAACATATTTTAAAAAAATATATATAAAAATAATTCTAAAAGAATATTTTGTAACTCTGTGACAATAAGTTGAGAATATAAAAGAAATACACTATTTCCTAACAACCAATATAACAATACACAGTCGTATCCAGAAAACCCAAGAACTCTAGTAAAGAAAACTACTGGACTTAAGTGAATTCAGGAAGGTGGTAAATATTTAATAAAATATAAACATATCAAAGGCTTTTATCTATATTAGTAATACATATTTCAAATAGAAATGGGATAATATGCTGTTCACAACGAGCAGAAAATCTATAAAAGAACTAGGAACAAATTTTATAAGAAAGACTTATATGAGGGACTTACAGGACTCATATGAACATCATTATAAAGTCCTATTGGAATACATAAAATAAGATCTGCTAAAGGGAAAGAGGTCATGTACCAAATTATCAAAAATTATCAGACTATGCCCTGTTTAGTTCAGTGGCAGAGCGGCAGCCCACGGACTAATGAGTCGCAGGTTTGATTCTTATCAAGTGCACATACCTCGGTTTCCATTCGATCCCGGCTCTGTTCAGGGTCGTGCAGGAGGCAAACAGTTGGTGTGTCCCTCTCATGTCGATGTTTCCCTCTCTCTCCCTTTCTCTCCCTCTCCCTCTATCTGAAGATATATAGAAAAATATCCTCAGGTGAGGATTAAAAAAATTATCAGACTAAAATTATAACTATTTAAATTTTGGATATCTGAAAAAAATAGTATATAAATATATTAATCTCACTTTAAGTACACATTTTGAAATACTGAGAATGAAAAATATATTTTTAATTTGTCCAAAATTATATCATTACAATGCTCAGTAAAATGTAAATAGTACTTACAAATTGCCACTTAGACAAGTGTAAAATTTACATTGAATAGTTCAACTCACACCGTGTACTCATTAACCTACTTTACTTTTATCTTCTGTTGTTCCTTTAAATGTATTCTGTGGGACTAATTCTTCATTTGCCACTAAATGAAATTTATGGCAAGGCCATGATTTTCCTCATCACTTTCAGTTTAATGTAAAAATTATAGCCTTAATTTTACTCAAAGTTATGGCTACTCAGGAGAAAAAGAATGACATTAATAGATTAAGAAATTATAAAGAAAACCAAGTAGAAATATTGGATATGACAAAAATAATAGTTGAAATAAAAAACATAGATGAGTTCAGCCAGTGTGGTTCAGTGGTTGAGCATTGACCCATGCACCAAGAGGTCGCCGGTTCAATTCCTGGTCAGGACACATGCCCAGGTTGTGGGCCTGATCACCAGTGGGGAGCATGCAGGAGGCAGCCAGTTGATGTTCTCAGTCATCAATGTTTCTATCTCCCTCCCCCTCTTACTTCCTCTCTCTCTAAAATCAATAAAGGATTAGCCCTGGCCAGTTTGGCTCAGCGGTTGGAGCGTCGGCCTGCGGTCTGGAGAGACCTGGGTTCGGTTCCCGCTGGGGGCGCGTACTTCGGTTGCGGTTTGTCCCTGGCCCTGGTTGGTTGTGCAGGTGGCGGCCACTCGATGTGTCCCTTTGCGTCGATGTTTCTCTCTCTCTCTCTCTCTTCCTCTCTCTCCCTCCCACTCTGTCTGTCCAAAAGATGGAAAGGTATCCTTGGGTCAGGATAAAAAAAAAAAAAATCAATAAAGGATTAAAAAAATAGATGAAATAAATAGGATAGCTCTAAAGCTAAGAAACTCTCATAGAAGTCAGCAGGAAATGATAAAAATATATAAACTATTTTTTTTTTTTTAAAGCAAGGTATAATGCCTGGCTGGTGTGGCTCAGTTGTTGAGCGTCAACTCATGCACCAAGAGGTCGCCAGTTCAATTCCCAGTCAGGGCACATGCCCATGTTGTGGGCCAAATCCAGTGGGGGGCGTGCAGGAGGCAACCAATCAATGTTCTGTCTCATTGATGTTTCTATCTCTCCTGCCTTTCTCTCAATCTAAAATCAATAAAAAGAAAAAAAGAAAAGAAAAGTATATTAGGTGCTCCAGAGAGGCAGTATCTATACGGTGGTGTACGAGTATGCACGTGTGCATGTGTGTAAGTGAGAGACAGAGAAAGATAGAGATTTGGCTAATCACAATTGTGAGGTCTGAAAAGTCCAAAATCTGCAGGGAAGGCCAGTAGGCTGGAGACCCAGGGAAGAGTTGACATTCTGGCTCAAATCCAAAGGCAGTTTGTAGGTAGACTCTTTTTTCCTCAGGGGGCCTCTGTCTTTTTCTCTTAAAGCCTACAACTAATTGGATGAGGCCCACCCACATTATAGAAGGTAATGTGCTTCACTCTGAGTCTTTTGGTTTAAATGTTAATCAGATCTAAAATGCAACATCTAGACTGATTTTTGAACAAACATCTGGGCACCAAAGCCTAGCCAAATTGACACATAAAATTAGCCATTACATCAAGAAATGAAGGATAGAATTAGAATCCAACCTTTGGATACTAGTCACAGAAGGAGAGAGTATAAAAAAGAAGAGTGAGCCCTGTCCGGTTTGGCTCAGTGATTATAGCATCGGCCTGAGGACCAGAGAGTCTCCAGTTTGATTCTGGTCAAAGGCACGCATACTTCTGTTGTGGTTCAGTCTCTGGCCCTGGTTGGGGTTGTGCAGGAGGCAACCAGTCAGTGCGTCTCTCTCACATTGATGTTTCTCTCTCTCTCTCCCTCCCTCCCTCCCACTCTATCTGAAGATAAGTGGGAAAATATTCTCGGATGATAATTTAAAAATAAGAAAAAAGAAAAAAGAAGAGGGAGCCCTGGCTGGTGTGGCTCAGTTGGTTGAGCATTATCCCATGCACTGAGAGGTTACTGGTTCGATTCCCAGTCAGGGCACATCCTCAATCCCTGGTAGGGGGCATGTAGGAGGCAACCAATTGATGTTTCTCTCATCAATGTTTCTCTCCCTCTCCCTTCCCCTCTCTCTAAACTCAAGAAAAATAGATTTTTAAAAAAGAATAGTGAAAACAAAAGAAAATAAGTGGAGGGGGTAACACGTTGAAATAAACGATAAAATTGACAGATGAAAGACTTAGATTAAAAAGTTCAAAAAGTGCCAAATGAGCCCTGGCCGGTTTGGCTCAATGATTAGAACATTGGCCTGTGGCCCAGAGAGACCGGGTTCGGTTCCTGCTAAGGGCACGTACCTTAGTTGCAGTCTGTCCCCGGCCCTGATTAGTCGTGCAAGTGGCAGCCACTCGATGTATCCCTTTCACTTCGATGTTTCTCTCTCTCTCTCTCTCTCTTCCTCTCTCTTCCTCCCACTCTATCCAAACAAAAAAATGGAAAAATATCCTCAGGTGAGGATTTAAAAAAAAAAGTGTCCTCAGGTGAGGATAAAAAAAAAGTGCCAAATGAGAGTGATAAGAATAAAACCATATGTCTGAGTATGTCTGAGTATTATAACAAAATTTAAGAACATCAGAACGAGAAAACTCTAAAAGTTTCCTGAAAGAGTAGATCATCTATAAAGGAGTAAAAATCACATTGATATCAGACAGCTTAACAGTAACAGGGGATGCAAGGAGATAGTTTTAAAAATTTTAATGAGGTAACTTTGAACCTAGAAGTTTATCTCCAGCTAAAAAGATGAGGGTAGCAGCCTGGCTGGTGCAGCTCAGTGGTTGAGCCTCGACCCATGCACCAGGAGGTCACCGGTTCGATTCCCAGTCAGGGCACCTGCCCAGGTTGTGGGCTCGATCCCCAGTGGGGGACGTGCAGGAGGTGTCCAATACATGTTCTCTCTTATCGATGTTTCTATCTTTCTCTCCCTCTCCCCTTCTCTCTCTCTAAAACCAATAAAGAAGCCCTGGCCGGTTTGGCTCAGCGGTTAGAGCATCAGCCCTGGTCTGGGTTGTGCGGGAGGCAACCAATCGATGTGTCTCTCTCACATTGATGTTTCCCTCCCTCCCTCCCTCCCTCCCTCCCTCCCTCCCACTCTATCTGAAGATAAATGGAAAAATATCCTTGGATGAGGATTAAAAATAAATAAATAAATACACCAAAAGGTTATAGGTTTGATTCCCAGTCAGGGCCCAGGCCCAGGTTGAGGGTTTGATCCCCAGTTGGGGTGCATTTGGGAGGCTATTGATCAATGTTTCTCTCTCACATCGATATTTCTGTCTTTACCTCTCCCTTCCTCTCTCTCTAAAATCAATAAAAATATATTTTAAAAAAATATGAGAGTATAATAAAAATGTTATCAGGCACATGTAGTGTCAGGAAGTTTGCCAAAGATCCAACAGTTAAAAACTCTGTAGAGAAGGAGGATGCTTCAAAAGATATGCAGATGAGGTGATCCTTTTGAATGCCTTGTTCAAATTTGGTGGTTATCTAAAAATAATTAAGATCAAGTTAAAGAAAATAGAGAAAGTATATTCAAACAGCCCAGAATTTAAGAATTTAGAGAATTACAACATTATTGGAAGCCGAGGTAAGAGGCCAAACACCCATGTCATTCTTGTAAATATTAAGTAAATAAGAGTATTGTTTGTAATTAGAGAACACCAACATCAGAATAAAAATAGAATATATAACTTTAAAACCAGCAGAAAAGTCCGGCCGGTGTGGCTCAGTGGTTGAGCACCGACCCATGTACCAAGAGGTCACCGGTTTGATTCCCGGTTAGGACACATGCCCAAGTTGTGGGCCAGATCCCCAGTGGGGGCATGCAGGAGGCGGCCAATCAATGTTCTCTCTCATCTATGTTTCTATCTCTCTCTCCCTCTCATTTCCTCTTTCTCTAAAATCAATAAAGAAAAAAAATTAAAACCAGCAGGAAAAAATGTATGCATCTAAAAGAAACCTGGAAAATAGAGCTCCTCTGGGGCAGGGGGGAGTAAAATATATGGAAATTATTCAGTAAGTTAACACAAATATGTCCTAATATAATAATAATTGCAATAAATGTAAATGTGTTAAATTAATCAATTGGATGAATAACCTCCAATTAGATTTTATTTTTTAGAGAGAGAAAGGGAAGGAGAGAGAGAAACATTGATATGAGAGAGATACATCGATTGGCTGCCTCCTGCACATCTCTTACTGGGGATTGAGCCCAAAACCTGGGCATGTGCCCTGATTGGGAATTGAACTGGGACCTCTCAGTCCATGGGATGACACTCAATCCAATGAGCTACACTGGCTGCGCTGGATTTTAAAAAGTACTATATACTGTATCTTTTACCACAGAGAAAGACAGAAAACTATAAAGATGAAGACATATCACATTCAGGGAAACACGAACCAAAACAAAATTGCATTAGGAACCATAACTTCTGAAAATGGATAATTTTATATAGGACAAAAAAAAAAGAAAATGTTTTATAGTGCTTAAAAGAACAAGATGGAAAAGATCATCATAAGTGCATATGATCCAATAGGTTACAAAGCAAACACTGACAGAACTATAGGGACAAATGGATGAATCAAAAATTATAATTGGGGAATTTAGCATACCTTTTTCAGAATGAAGGAAACAAAAATAATCAGGGATACAATCTAAACCATTTGAATAATATGCTTGAACATTAGCTGTTTATGGAAATTTATACCCAACAAACAGATAAAATATTCTTTATAAGCACACATGGAACAGTTACGAAAGTATACAAATATTGAATTATAATGTTGTATACCAGAAAATTATATAACATTATTAAACAATGTTACCCCCAATAAATCTAATTTAAATATATATAATAGTGAGTAGTAGAATGAGATTTTTTTTTCAATCCCCAAACCTGAGGATATTTTTCCATTTATTTTCAGATAGAGCAGGAGGGAGAGAAAGAGAGAAATATTGATGTGAGAGAGACACATCGATTGGTTGCTTCCCACACAACCCTGACCAGGGCTGAGGACCAAACTGCAACCAAGGTACATGCCCTTGACCAGAATTGAACCTGAGACTCTTCAGTCTGTGGGCTGACACTTTAACTGCTGAGCCAAACTGGCCAGGGCAAACTGGCCAGGGTAAATGCAATATCACTTACATAAATTTAAAATATATGCCCAAAAATCACATTTAAAAGAACATGTATAAACAAAAAAATTACACATTAAGTACATTAGATTTATTTTCTTTGGGGAGGAGATAAGAAAGTAAGTAGCAGTAGAGATGCATTCATCTTTGGACTGTGGAGGACATTGTTGATAGCACTTCATTAAGTGCTAGGACTTTTAAACTGAGCATTCAATATATATTGGATAAAGGAATGGATGGATGAATGGAATGAGAGACTAAAAGAGTAAGTGGTGAGTGAGTGACTGACTGGGATTACACTTTGTGCCACAGCAATTATAGAAATAATATAACATAGGTATGAATATGATAAGCAATTCTATGGAGAGGTAGTGAAATAGAATAAAAATCTCCTGAAAATAAATTATATTGCATCCTACCTATTTCCATCCTACTTTTAGTTTTGGCGTTTCCTTATAGATTTAAAGAAGCAGAAGGTAATAATCTATATAATAATTATTGAAAAATATCACCAAAGGCCCCTTCCAATACTCATCATATCCAGCTGATACAGTATCTGAAACTCCACCTTCAGAGAATCATTCCTTTGAGCTCCTTTTCCTCTAACCCTCTTTAAAAAATAAATTAAGAAATACAATAATAAGTGCCCTTACAATAAATATCAAATTTGTGTAAAATAAGAAAGGGAAGATATGAAGTGAGGAGAGGTTTTTGAGAAAATCAGAAGGGTTTGTAGCAAATTTTTCTCCTTTTCCAATATTAAAAATGTGTAAGTAGTATTAACAGCTTTAAACATTAGATAACAAAAAAATATGATCATTTTCACTATCAAAGAAATGCCTTATACTTCACAAAGTTCTTACTTTATTCCTCCTCAAGTCTAATCTTCCTTGAAAAAAGTCACTGATGGCAATTTTTCCTTCCAGGCATTTTAAGGGTCTTTTTTGTTCCCCACACTTCTCTTCAGTTTGGGATGATTCTTCATGATGATGATGAACCTGCTCCAGTAGCTTAGTAAGCATGCGAATTTCCTGCTGAAGGCCTTCAGCTCTCTATAAAGAAAAAATAGATAAAACTTCTTGATGGGCCCTGGCTGGTTTGGCTCAATGGTTAGAGTGTCAGCCCAACGACCAGGGATTGATGGTTCAATTCCCAGTCAAAGGCACGTACCTAGGTTGCAGGTTCGATTCCTGGCCTTGGTTAGGGTTGTGTGGGAGGCAACCACTTGATGTGTCTCTCTCATGTCAATGTTTCTTTCTCTCTCTCTCCCTCCATCTCTCCCTCCCACTCTATCTAAAAAGTCAACGGAAAAATATTCTCATGTGAGGATTAACAACAACAAAAAACTTCCTGATGATCCATAATTTCTATTTCATTTCACTACTGTGCAAGTTATGCTATACTGATATTGTAGCAACATTAAGTTACTAAATAGATGCTGGTTTCAAACAAAAATGGAAAGGTTAGATATATAAATATAAGATATTTTAGTTAGTACTGAGTAATAAAATTGTATGATGAAGCCCTGGCCAGTTTGATGAATTTAAGAGAACAGAGTGTAAAAATATTTGGAACTCTACAATAAACAGACTACTGTATAGTAGGTTTTACTAACACATTGAATTTAAGCAACACCCATCTGCCTTTGAATTGTAGGGTAAAGAGTCATGAAATTTTACTCAAGTGATTTGAATACAACAGGGAAACCTCACTTAAACCTTCTGGTTCAGCCTGGCCGGAGTGGCTCAGTGGTTGAGAGTGTTGACCCATGCATTAAGAGGTCACCAGTTCAATCCCCAGTCAGGGCACGTGCCCAGGTTGTGAGCCAAATCCCCAGTGAGGGGCCTGCAGGAGGCGACCAATCGATGTTCTCTCTCATCAATGTTTCTATCTCTTGCTCCTCTCTCTAAAAATCAATAAAGAAAAAATATTTTTTAAAAAAACAAAGTTATGTACTGCCCTGACTTTGGCTTTTAATATCTAGTTAAAAAAAAACAAAACAAAAACCTTCTGGTTCAATCTTTTGATAGACTTGACCAATGAATTCAAGTAAATAACTGCTTTGACCATTTAGTTTACTGCACGGACTGAACTGTTTGCTCATGATAGAAGCATTCTCTTCACACCACTATTTTGAGCTAGCATTGTTGAGCTTACACTTAACTGTACTAAGCATTTATCATGTATTAACCCATTTAATCCTTACAATCATTCTGAGATGGGAACTCTGCCCCCTAGATATCTCCTCACCCTGTCTTACTCCCACCAAATTTTGGAAATGAAATGGAGACAAAGAGTGGATAGATAAGTAAACTGCCCAATGGCACAGAGCTGGCAACGGCAGAGCTGAAACTCATACAGGAGCTCAGTGCTCTTAATAAACACACTACACACCTCTGCTGTACAAACGGACATCCTCTTCTATTACTCTAGCAATAAAATCAAAATTAACATTTAGAACCACAGAGGTTACTGAATTGGCTAATATCAAAATGTGTATCTTAAAAGAAATCTGAAAGAATAATTTGTCAATACACTTACAGACTTCCAAGATTGCTCACTTGCACGAATTTCCTGAATCCTCTCTTTCACAGCTTCCTCCGTGGCTGGGATGGGGTCGACACTGTTGCTCAGAAGAGAAGCCAACTGATCGAGGAATTTCTGATAGTGGGATTGTGCAGTTTTAGCTTCCCAGCTGAATGAATATGGAGGTCTGTCTAATTTATATTTTTGTTTTTCCTTATGGATCAAATCTTGTTGATATTTATCCCAAATTTTCTGCCCATCTTTTGGTCCTTCAGGGTGAAAAATGTTGTCTCTTTCAAAGTTCTTGGCCAGAATAGCTTGATCTTTATCCTAAATATGCCAACACAAGTGTTAAACTTCCCATTTGGAATTTAATATGGAGCTATCTAATCTTCCTCTTTTGAAATATAAACACAATCATAATATAAAACTTCAGGTGAGCCCAGCCAGTGTGGCTCAGTGGATTGAGCATCGTCCCATGGACTGAGAGGTCCTGGTTCGGGCACATGCCTGGGTTGCAGACTCAATCCCCAGTTTGGGGCGTGCAGGAGGCAGCCGATTGATGTTTCTCACATCGATGTTTCTATCTTTCCCTCCCTTCCTCTCTCTCTCTAAAAAAAAATCAATAAAAACATATTTAAAAAAACAACTTCAAGATAAAGGCCCTCAAAAGAAAGTAAGTTATAGAGTCATAAGAGGGGCAAGGTCATACTTAAAAGAGCAAACTAGAACATCAAGAGGTATTAAAACAATGGTATGTTTCGAGAACATAGGAAATTTAGCTTAGAGAAGCAGCTAATGAAATGGCCCCAGTTTATGAGGGTAAACTCTTTACAGAAAAAATGTAGAAGGAAAGATAGAAATGTAAAAATCAGCATTTTGCATCTCCTAATAAAATAACTGATTCAAGCAAGGCTCATCAAGTGAAAAGTTGGCAGGGAAATGAAATTTTTCATAAAAACTTAATTATGATTATGGAACATCACTTAATAACTTTGATAATATTAAAGTATGAATGAAAGAAGTCACACCCCCACCCTTTCCTTCGTGCTCCTGTAATCATCCTGCCTCCACTGTAAATAGGAAAACAAGAAAGATAATGTGTACTCCCCACCTCCACTCCCCACCAACCTCCTACAGGGAGATTCTCCCTTCATAGATTCTAGCCTCTCACCACCTTCTTACCACCTTCAGTTTCTGGGCTTTATGTCATGTGAAACTGGGAAATAGAAGGAGAGCTAGAATTGTGGAAGAAATGATGAATTAGAAATGTTGGGAAAGCCTAAAAAAAAGAGGTAAAAGAAAAGAGCAATGGAAGAAAAGGTCAGAGCTGCATGGTCTCCGGTTTGGTCATTTTCAGAGATGTGGCAGATCAGTGAGAGAAGTGGAAAGAAAAAGAAAAGCAAATTGTTATGGTGAATTACTTGAGAGGCAATTAAAATTAAAATTTAAATACTTTGAAAGTAGTTCTGAATTTTTTTAATGGAACCTCTCACATTAATTGGATTATGGTGGGCCTTGTTTTACATTCAAATTATATAATAAACTGTTAAGTCTAAGAATTTCAAAATAAACTTTCACCAGTTCTTTGAAAATTGTCTGTCTCCCATGTTCCTCCAACATTCTTCTGTAAGATCTTCTTCTAATCCTCTTAACTGCCATCTATGAGTGACCAGGCTCATCTCTAAACCACACTCATGCTGTAATTCCTGATTTCATTGTCCAATGTAGATAATCCATCCAATTTAGTTTAAAACTCCTTGCCTCTGTTTCAGTAACTTTCACCTACACCCAACTTCAACTCTTCAACTCAGATCCAAAAACCCAGATTTTGTCAGCAGCAGGAAGTAACCCACACCAGAAATTTAAAACGTCCACATTTTACCCTCTAACTTCCACTTTTCCTCCCAGCTCTCTCTCTTCCCTCTAAGCTTTTCTTCAGAATCCTGAGACCTTCAGATCCTCCTTGCACTTTCTCTCCTCACCTCAGAAAGCCTTCCAGTCAACCATGCTGCACTGCTTCCTTTTATCCTCTACAAGAGGGGGACCAACAAAGCACTCAGCACTGTCTGTCTCCCAGAGTAACCCCATTCCTTCAAAGGTCAATAAAAATTTATTCTCACCTTTATTATGAAACCACCTAAGGTATCTTCTTGTCTTTTCATATTCATATAAGGGGTGAATCCATTAACATCTGCTAACTTTTTCTCCAAAAGGTTTGCTTTGTGCTCTGCCCTTTCCTTTTCAAAAAGATGTACTCTGTGTAAGACAGCAGTAGGTAACAATATCATGAAATCAACTCAATATTCAAACTTCAATTAAAAATAATGAAAATGAATATTTCCCATTTAAAATATATTAATGTATCAAGTAAAAATGTAACTATTTCTAAGGAGAGACTAGAAATGGTAGAGAAATGGAGAGAAAATCCAGTGTTAAGTCCTATAGTAGTTACCCTGGGGGAGGTCAATTTTGAAACCATCCTTTTCAAGGGGAAATTTGAGTATGAATATTTCCTGCTACTGTTGGTAATAGTGTGATGATCAGGAGATTCCACTTGAATACAGGTACTCCTATTTTAATAACACTTGAATGGGCTCTTCTACTGAGATTCGAAGAAGGGTAAGGAACTAGAAATAATGATGCAGCAATAGAGAACAGCATATGTAAAAAATTTATCAAATATATAAACAGCTAATTATTTGGTTCTTATTTTGATTATTAATTGCTAGGTATTGATACTATTTTCTACCCTGTAGCTAGGTTTCAGTCCATCTTCTATGATTTCTATGTTCTTGTCTGTCTAAGAATGCATCCTACAGAATTAATGAATTTGAGTTAGGTCAAAAGAAATTATCTGAATAATCTAAAGAAAAAAATTTTAATTCAAACAATTATATCAGAGACACATAGGGCACACTCAATAGGTCTAACATACCTATAATTGTAGCCCTAGAATGAGTGTAGAGACGGAATGAGACAGAAACAATATTTGAAAAAAATTTTTCCAAGAATTTTCCAAACCTGATGAAAGACATCAGTTGATAGATTCAATAAGTTCTGCAAATCCCAAATCTCGCCAAGACATATCATAGTCAAATTGTTACCAATTAAAAGCAGTCAGAGCCCAGCCAGTGTGGCTCAGTGGTTGAGCACTGACCCATGCACCAAGAGGTTGCCAGTTGGATTCCCGGTCAGGGCACGTGCCCAGGTTGTGGGGGCATGCAGGAGGTGGCCGATTGATGTTCTCTCTCATCGATGCTTCTATCTTTCTCTCCCTTTCCCTTTCTCTCTAAAATAAATAAAGAAAAAAAAATTTAAAAAAGATGATGCCCCTAATCCTATGAAAAAAGAAAATAAAAGCAGTCAGAGAAAAAGTACACATTACCTTTAAAAGTACATCAATAAGACTGATGACTGAGTTTACAACAGAAACTATAGAAGTCAGAAAATAACCAAATGACATCTTAGAGGGCTGAAAGTAAAAATACTGAAATCCCAGAACTCTATACACACACACAAAAAAAATACCCTTTAAAAAAATGAAGTGAAATAAATAGTTTCAGAAGAAAAAAACTGAAAAATTGTCAGAAGAACTGTATTATAAGAAGCACTACAGGCAATTTCTCAGGATGAACAAAAATGATCCTTGGTGACTGCACAGAACTGTAGGAAGGAATGAAATGCACTGGAAGGGAAAATAGAAATTTATACTTAAAGTTCATTAAAACAATAATAATATCTTATGGTATTCATAACACTTGAAAAGTTAATTATAACAATATTACAAGAGCCTGAGATAGATAAATGGAGTTAAACTATCATAAGGCTTTTATTTTGGAATATCATAAAAATACAGATCTAAAGTAGACTAATAAATATGCATTTTGTAATCATGAGATCTAGAGTAAAAACTAAATGATAATATAAAAAATAATACAGGGAAAAACAGAGTAGTAAAAAATGGGTTAATCTAAAGAAAATGGTGGAGTAATAAAGGAACAGAGAACAATGGGAAAAACATGCAATAAATATCAATATAGTAGACTTAAAACCAACAATTAAGACAAGAGAATCAAATTGGCTTGAAAATAAAACAACTAATGTTAAGCATTTTGTAAGATAGATACTTTAAACATAAGGACACAGAAACATGCAAATGAAAAAATGGAAAAAGATATACCAAGAGAACAGTATAATGGTGTAACTAAATTAATACCAAGTAGCCTTTAAAGTTTAAAGTTTAAAGCAAGAAATATTGAGTTGTTCACTTTAAGCCTGTATGGTTTTATTGACCAGTGTCACCCACTATACATTCAATTTTAAAAAATCTGCAAATAGAAATGTTAAGAAATGGGGGAAAAAACCCATTCAGCCATTTGTCTGTTTTCTAAAAATGGTATTGGGTTTGTAAAGCTATATCAATATTTTATTATTGGATCCCTAATTCAAACCACATACAAAAATTAGTCAAGATGCATCAAACACATAAATTTAAGTGCTAAACTATAACCTGTATAAGAAAACATACTTGCAAATCTTCACAACCCTGGATTAGGCAGTGGTTTCTTAGGTATGACATAAAAGACACAAATGACAAAAACAGATAAATTTCATCAAAATTTAAAAATTTCGAGCTTCAAAGGGCACCATTAAGAAAATGAAATGACAACCCACAGATTGGACAAAAATATATGCAAATCATATATTTGATACAGGTTTGGTATCCAGAATATACAAAGAACACTTACAACTCAACGATAAAAAGACAAATAACCCAATTTAAAAATAGGCAAAGAATCTGAATAGATATTTCTACAGAGAAGATATACAAATGGCCAATAACCACATGGAAAGATATTCAACATTTTTAGTCATTCTATACATGCAAATTAAAATCACAATGAGATACAACTTCATATCCACTACAATAGCTATAATGAAAAAGATGAACAATAATGTGTTGATGAGAATGTGGAGAAATTGGGATCTTCATATATTGCAGGTAGTAATTTTAAATGGTGGAGCTGCCTTGGAAAACAGCCTGGAAGTTCCTTAAAAGCAAGTTCAAAAAGTTAAACATAGAGTTACCTCATGATCCAGCAATTCTACTCCTAAGGCACATACCTATTTGCAAGCTTATGACAAACGACATTTGAAAACAAACTAGAAAATTCCCAGCCCTTGGAGCCCAGGGCCACTGCCAAGTCTTCCAAGGCAAGCGTGATCGCCCTGTAGCGCCTGGTGGAGCAGCTCAGGCCATTGTGAGGTGATCAACGGTACTGCATGCAAAAAACCTGCAAGGATGCCCTGCTGGTCAGTGGTCCAATGGGAAGCAACACCTTCTGGGAGCCCAGATCCTGCCTTTACTCTGAAGATTGTACCAAGAAAGTTTGCCGAGGACAGCCTTCAGGTGCAAAGTGATAAATGACTGCCTCCAAGTCTCAAGAAAACATTTTTCTCTAATCAAATAACTTTTAGATATTTCAGATCTTTCCTGTGACCTGGTCCTATATGCAAAATGCTACAGAAATTGAAGAGTTTCTACTCAAATAAAGAAACTGGATAAAGGAGTAGGCTTTTATTATTTTTTAAACTAATTAATTTTTGTTACAGATGTTTCTCCTTTTCCCCCCACTGATGACCCCTCCCTCCCTCCCCACCCTGTCCCCAGCTTTGTTGTCCATGTCCATTGTTCATGCATACATGCATATAAGTTCTGTGGTATATCTCTCCCCCACACCCTTTTCTGGGGATTGTCAGTCTGCACCCCACTTCCATATCTCTGGGACTACCTCATTCCTCAGACTATTATGTTCATTATATTCCACAAATAAGTGAGATCATATGATACTTGTCTTTCTCTGTTTGGCTTGTTTCACTTAGGATAATACTTTCCAGGTCCCTCCATGTCGTCTCAAAGGATAAGAGATCTTTCTTTCTTACAGCTGCATAGTACTCCATTGTGTATATGTACCACTGCTTTTTTATCCATTCATCTACTGATGGCCATTTGGGTTGTTTCCAGATCTTAGCTATTGTAAATAATGCTGCTATGAACATGAGGGTACATATATTCTTCCTGATTGGTGTTTCAGGCTTCTTAGGGTACATTCCTAGAAGTGGGATCACTAGGTCAAATGGAAGTTCAATTTTTAATTTTTTGAGGTAACACCATATTGCTTTCCATAGCGGCTGCACCAGTCTGCATTCCCACCAGCAGTGTACTAGAGTCTCCTTTTCTCCACACCCTTGCCAACACTTGTTGTTTGATGTTTTGTTGATGGCAGCCATTCTGACAGGTGTGACGTGATACCTCATAGTTGTTTTAATTTGTATCTCTCTGATGATTAGTGACATTGAGCATTTCTTCACATGTCTCTTAGCCATTTGTATGTCCTGTTTGGAGAGGTGTCTATTTAGTTCCTCTGCCCATTTCTTAATTGGGTTCTTTGTCTTCCTTTTGTTGAGTTGTATGAGCACTCTGTATATATTGGAAATTAACCCCTTATCTGATATATCATTGGCAATTATGCTCTCCCATACAGTGGGTTGCCTTTCCATTTTGATGATTGTATCTTTTGCTGTGCAGAAGCTTTTTAGTTTGATGTAGTCCCATGTGTTCATTTTTTCCTTTGTTTCTGTTGCCTTAGGTGATGTATCAGTGAAAATTCTGCTGCATATGGTGTCTGAAATTTTGTTGCCTACAGTTTCTTCTAGGGTTTTTATGGATTCATGAGTCACATTTAAGTCTTTTATCCATTTTGAGTTTGTTCTTGTGTATGGTGTAAGTTGATGGTCTAGGTTCATTTTTTTGCATGTAGCTGTCCAATTTTCCCAACACCATTTTGTAAAGAGGCTGTCTTTACTCCACTGTATGCTCTTGCCATCTTTGTCAAATATTAATTGAGCATGTAAGTTTGGGTCCATTTCTGGGTTCTCTGTTCTGTTCCACTGGTCTATCTGCCTGTTCTTGTGCCAGTACCAGGCTGTTTTGATTACAGTGGCTTTGTAGTATAATCTGAAATCTGGTAACGTGATCCTTCCTACTTTGTTCTTCTTTTTCAAGATTGCTGTGGCTATTCGAGGTCTTTTTTGGTTCCATATGAACTTTTGAAGTATTTGTTGTAGTTCTGCGAAGTATGTCGTTGGTATTTTGATGGGGATTGCATTGAATCTATAGATTGCTTTGGGTAATATGGACATTTTAATTACATTAATTATTCCAATCCATGAACAAAGTATGTGTTTCCACTTTT